AAAAATTTATGTTAAAAATTAATTAAAATTGTTTAAAATTGCAGACAAATTTGCCTGCAATTTTTTACCATTAAAGGAATAATTTAAACCATGATTTATATTGGTTTAAAAATTTATAAACCAAAAATAACTTATAGTTTAAACTATTTAACCATTAACATCCCTATGATAGAATAATTGTTATCATCTGATAAAATGATTTTTTATTATTCTATTAGAATGAATTTTTTATATTATTTCTTTAGGATAATACATTATTATTTTATCAGAATGATTTTATTTATCATTCCTTTAGAATGATGTATTATTATTTTATAAGAATGGTTCTTTTATTTTTTTTTTAGAATGATGTTTTATCATTTTATCAGAACAATTTATTTATTTATCATTTCTTTATAATAATACATAATCATTTTATTGAAATGATATTATTTATCATTCTTTTAGAACAATGCATTATGATTCTATTAGAATGATTCTTCTATCGTTCCTTTAGAATGATAATTTATTATTTTATCAGAATGATTTTCTATCATTTCTTTAAAATAATAATTTATCATTTTATCAGAACAATTCTTTTATTATTTTTTTAGAATAATGATTTATCATTCTATTAGAATAATTATTTTTATTGTTTCTTTAGGACAATCTTTTATTATTTTTAGAATAATCTTTTATTATTCTATCAAAATGAATTGTCTATCATATTTTTATTTACTAAATATAACTTGAACTAAATCAATTAAAATTTTTGACTTGACTTGACTTAACTCAATTTTTTAAATCAAGTTAAATTTGACAAAAACATATTCAATTCGATTTATTTCAGAACTCTAATCTAACCATTCTTTTAGAAGATTTTATAAATCTTTATTATTGATTTTAAATCGTCTTTTTTTATATATGTATAAGAAGTAATAATGATAATATCAAACTTTTAAAATCTTCATATATTTGAAAATAATAAAAATTATTTTAGAAAAAAAAAATGAAAAAAAAGTAACAAAATTTTATTTAATATATATTTAATAAAAATCATAAAAAAATGATAATAGATAAAAGTATATTTAATATTACTTTATAAATTTTACCAAATATATTATATTTAGATATTTTTCTTTAACTATACTAGCAAAAAAATAAGCATAAAATTCATATGATTTAATAATCTAAATTAATTATTACTAGTATTATACCATTTTGTCTTTTATTTTAAAAATATAATTTCTTTTTTTGATTATAAAATCCTATATCATATTCTTATATATTATATCACTTAGGATTAGTTTAAGATTAATTAAAGTCAGTTTTAAATCATTTTAGGGTTAAAAATCATGTATCTAAGCTTTTTACTAAATTATATTTAAACTGATCAAACTTATAATCTAAAACTTATAATTTTAATGGTAAATATATTTTTTTGATAAAATTTTAGAAAATTAAAAAGAAGGAAATTTAATGCAAAAAATCAATTTGATGCTATCTAACTAACATTATATATCATAATTACCTATCAATAAAGAAATAATAAATTTCTATATACTGATCCTAGTGAATTGCTAATAAGTATAAATTTTTTAACAAATCATTAATTTATAATTTTTTTTCTTAGCATATGAATACTAAATAAAACTATATATCTATCATAAATTTTGTTTATGTTTGTACTATATCCTCCTTTTTTGGTTTTTTCACTTTATCTTCTTTATTACTTTCAAGTTCTCTTTCTACTAATACACCTAAACCTTCCCCTTCTATACATAGTTCTGAAATATGATCCAAAAATACCAATCCATCACCGTCTACATCTAATTTTTTCACAATTTTTTTGATTCTCTCATTATCACCGGGTGTATGTTTAATAACTCTTAAGGCTTCTTCCAAATCATGAACACTTATTTGTCCACTTTCATTGGCTTGAATAATATTTAATTTTGATCCAACTTCACTATCATACTGCACCAATTCTTTATCAATTTTTTGAATCATTTTTTCTAAACGCTCTCCAAGACGATGTTGAACTTTAGATTCTGTATGCTTTCCAGTTTCTTTTAACTCTTGTATATCCTAAAATCAAAAAAAATATTAAATATTAAAGTTAAGTATAAATAATCTATATATTTAACAAACCTCTTTATATTCTTCACGATCGACCTTAATTTCATTTAATGCTTCCCTTTCTTCTAGCACTGCCGATTTCGATGAAAGAATCGAAAGTGCTGCACGAAGTTCTTGAAGTTGCTCTTCTGTCATGCGTACATCTTCCTCAGGAACCTAATAAAGTTTATTAGTAATGATTCACAAATATTTAAAAGATATTCACTAAATAATTATAATTTACTTGAACGTCACTAAGTAATTGCTCAGCAAGGGCTGCTTCCTTGGCAGCTACTTCTGCTTCTTTTTGAGCTCTTCTTGCAGCTTCCTCCTTCTATAATATAAATTTAAAACAAATTAATAGATTGACAATAATTTGATATAAACTAATCAATAATCAAATATAAATACCTCTTCTTGAGCCTTCTCATCAGCAATCAACTCTTCTTGCTCCTCAATAACTTCAAGTTTTTGCTTGTATGTAGCTGCACCATCTGCTTCTGAAACTTGCAATTCCGCTTCATTGACCTATTAAAATCAATACATTATATCGAGGAAATCTCTAGTAATTTTTAGAGAAGCAGGAAAAAATATTTATATATTTTATTTACAAGATTATCTGGCAAGCTATTCAAAGTTGCTTGAAGAGCTTCAGCTTGGTTGGCCAATTCATTTCGATCTGCAAAACTAAAAGCACGAGATAAGATTAATAAAGTAGAAGGTACTTTATGATTTAAATGAAGATCCAGCCATTGATTCAATTCGCTGCGTAAACGTGCTGGTGAAACTCCAATCGTCCTAATTCCACGCGATTGGCACGCATGTTGTAGTTCTGGAATGGTCAGTGATTCGACCCCTTCAGCCATTATCATCTAAAAAATCACAATAATATTTAATCTTTAGATTCAAAAAAAAAAAAATAATAATAAGTATATAAGAAATTTTAATAAGTACCTTATCATCTTCCTTAATACTCCTCATTCGATTTCTAATCTGGTATCTCAAGAAATTATCTGTGCCGAAAGCATTTAGATTCATATAACGGCACATGCTAACCAATTGAGGGCGTGACAAATTATCCAACGTTAATTCATCTTCAAAAAGATTGGCTATACGAAGCAGGTCTTCGGTACTAGCTTGCTCTCCGGTAGAACGAACCTAAATCAGGGGAAAACTTTTAATGAAATGTCAAAATAATTAAATTAACAAATATATAGAATAGAAATTACTTTTCGGAAAAATTCTGTAAATTCTTTAGCTGCTTCAGCGCTTTTCGATCCAGTAGTACTAGTTTCAGCAATCGTTTCTTGTAAAAATTTAGCCATCTCTAAGCGAACCTTTAGCAATTTTCTCTTTTTTTCCTCCTATAATAAATACCATGGATTTAAATTATTAAAATCAATAAAAAGATTTAATAAAGTAAAATAGAGAAATAAATGATACCTTTGAAAATTTATCCTCAAAAGTACTAGGTAACATATTAGGAAATAATTTTAATGCTATTGGTAAAAAAAATTCCATAAAAGGGACAACTATGAAAACTAAGAATGGGACAAGTCGAACCAAGTCTTGTGTAGTACGTCTAAGCTAAATATTTATAGAAATAGGTTAGCATCAAATATAATGTCTAATTTTCAATAAATTATTCATACCTGTCTTTGTTCTCGACGCGTGAGCCTTTGTCCCTTTAATAATTTATACAATAACTTGGTTGAAATCTTAATTTCCAATCCTAACAGTTTTGTACCGTGCCAATAATGAATGAATTCATCTTTAATGCGTGTAATTAAGGCTTTTTTTTTATATATGGTAGCGGTAGAAGTATTTTCTTTATTTATATTTGGCTCCTCTTTAGTAACTTTGTGTGTCATATGTTCTTTCACTATTGTGCCCCTGACCGGCTCTTTTGAAACATGAGAATTTCTAAGTAATCGCAATTCATTTGGTAATGTGAAAGGACTTTTATTTGAAAAGTGCGATTTTTGATTTGTCGCAAATTGTTGAGAATTTTGAAGAGGTTTTAAACAAAGTATCTTAGGTTGAGACCAAAAAGTTCGTGTAGTAGAAAAAGAGCTCAAATTGGTAAGCCTATTTTGCACTTGCAGTTATTTTTTTGACACGCATAATATTAGAAGGAAAAATCGTTTTATAAAGATTTAAAAAAAAGGAGAAAAGAGAGCGAGAACAGGTTATATAATAAAAACATAAGTTTCAATAAAAACGTGACTTTCATATCCTTACCGACTATTGTTCGCTGAAGTCTCCTGTTAATGAGCATTATTGAAGGAGTATGTGTATACGAAAGACTCCTAGCGAAAAATTTTGTAGAGGTCATATTGATATTAAAATTAAGATGAATTCAAAATAGATGTTTATCAAATCAAGTTTATTATATTGGTCGATCGACAATGATACTGATTGGCTAAAATCAATCTTTATAAAAATTGATTACTTTTTAGCTTGCAGCTATACGAGCTATGTTTTGATCCCGATCTTTTTTGGAGAGTCCCAATTCTCTTTTTTTAAAAAATAAATTTTTGAAGACAACAAAAAAAAAGTAAATTACTTCCTTTAAAACATATCAGAAGAAATTTCATGTCTTGCTCACGTGAATCCTGATATAAATATTATTTAAAATTTTGATTAAAGTATAATTCTAAATATTATTATACTTATATGATATGAGCAGTCTAAAATTATCACTTTTTTATTTTTCATGATACTGATCTATCATATATTAATCTATCTTTAAACTTCCTTTACCATCTGATTTAAAACCATTTTAGTATATGCTATATGACCTGTTATAATATTAAATACAAATATACTAATATTATCAGAATGTAATTTTTCAAATATGAAAATTACTTTTCAATTACCTAATGAAGGAATAATTATTAAAATTATTAATCAATAAAATAAAAAATAGTTTTTGAAAATAAATAATATTGCCTATTTAATTAAATCCTCGATTTGCTATCATTCCTTTTTTTAAATTTATAACGCTTTTTAAAACTAATAAACAACTTAGTCTTAACCCAATATAAAAAAATATATATACGCTACTGAGATAACTAAAGTTGTATAGGATTACCATCATTATTCTCATAGGTTACTCATCTTTTGAGAATTAGGTAATTCCTCACTTTAGTTCGATGAGTAACCAGTCTAACTGGCATTATTTCTAGTAAAAATATGCGGTCTACATCCATCATTATTACACGTGTTTAAAAACATCCCTTATATTTCTTGCAGCATTAACATCCCTATTCCAAAGAGTTAGACAATTCGATCTGCAAACTTTCAAAGCATAATAACATTGTGGATATGTAAATCTATCTTTACATCGGAAACAAATCTGTAAAAATAAATAAATGATATTAAATAAAATATTAAAAATTTTTTTTTTTAAAAAAAATTAAATACTCACTTATGAGGTTCAAAATTCAGAAACAAGCCTAGTGCAGCAACGTCTCTTAAGTTCCGCAAAAAGTTGTTTTATAGGACCTGATGCATGTCCCCGCAAAGAAGAAGAGAAACTACCTGCTCCATAAGCAATAACAACTGAATTACTATAATGATTCTTTTTATTTCCAATAATTTTTGATATATTATAGATAATGTCTTTTGCTTTCCAACATAATTATCAAATTTAATCTGCCGAAATCTTTTGGCATCATAATAAGTATGAAGTACATTATAATTTTGGTGAATATATTGTAAATATTGTAAATGACCAATATAATGAACTTTTGAGGATGTGTGAGAAGTAAAAAGATTTTTGAGAATGTTTTGAATATTATGTGCCTAATATAAATAACCAATAAATTAATATACTAAAAACAACAAATAATAATATTAATAATTATAAAATATCCTTTTTGATCAAGTCCAATAACTGTTTTTTCAGTTAAATTTACAATACTATAATCATTATCATTTATTTTATCTCTTATTTTTTTGTTTAATGAAATACAAATACCAATTAAGTCTGTTTCAATATGACATCAAAACCTTTCACCATATTTTTGTATATTAAAAATTTGAGCCCAATTACTTCTTGCAGAATCTCCAAATTGTGTTTTTGAAATTCCTACAACTAGATTATTACCAGCACGCTTTAATATATAAATGATTTGTCTCAATAGGCATATAACAAGTTCCATAATTACGTTGTGGAACAATATCAAATAAATGAAGACCTTTTATATTTGGATGATGCTCAATAATTTGATTTATACGATAAAGTAATGAAAGATAAGTTGACCAAGTTTTTTCTCCATTCATCATCTCTTCTGATAAATCCAGATTATCCAATAATATATAAAAATCTTCATATAATAACATTAGCATTGTAATACTAATTTCTGGTATTGAAGAATTGTTGTTTAATAAAAATTTTGTATTATCATCAAAATTCCATTGAAGTATTCTTTGTTTTTTTGTAAACAATCATAAAATAATTCAATTATAGAAGATAATCGTAATTTTTCTTTTACTTTAGGTATTTAAAACAAAAAATATTTGATTAATGAACGTAATTGACGTGGTAAATTGGTTGAAACATGATTTCTACAATTTACTAAATAAGATTTAGCTGCAGATGAAAAAAAGTCACCTATATATCTAATTAATAAATAAAATAAAAAAATTAATTTTATAATATATTAATTAATTTAAATTTAATATTATTTCCAACTTACTTTATTGAAATCCAATTTAAATGTGATGATCTATATCTTGCATATTCATCTCAAATTAAATTAATTATTGGTTCTGCAGTATCTTGTGGCAAATTTGAGAAATCTTTTCGAGTTATTGATTGAAAAACACGTCATACAAACTGAAAATCAATAATTGGAAAAGACTGATTATTTTCCAAATGATGTAATAAAAAAAGTTGAAAATTTTTTGCCCCTTCAAAGGTCATTTGATTATAATTTTCAATTGTTTCTTCTAATGCTGGAATAATTGATTTATTTAATAATAATGTATTAAATGCTATTTTAATTGTAATAGGAACGAAACATTCATCATCATCATTATCATTTAATTTTGAAGATGATGATGATCATCATTGTTTGTATAAAAGACATTTTTTGCTTGATTTATATGTATGATCTACCTTGCCATATGATTTGCAACCTTTGTAAATATATGTAAAAATTAATTTTTTTCATAAAATTTACAATTACTTGTATTATTTTTTTTGTATTTTGTTGGTCTTGTATTTTCTTCCAAATTAGTCCGTTTAGATGGTTTATTAGTTTCCA